CTGAGTGCCTCCAGGTCACAACTGGTTAACTTGGTTCTATTAATTGGCTTACTAATGACTGGTTGAGCCTGGTTGGTTAGGGTAGCCAGGACACAGGTTCTGGTCCTAACTCTAGTAACAGAAGGCTCTCATCAAATGTAGCACTCCTGCCTTAAAGTCTACTGTTTTACAACCATGAGTAATATTGTTTTCATCATTGAGTCTGTTACAACTCATCAAGGGACCTGGGCAGAGTTCTGTCCTTATTCCACAGATGAGAAAGCCTAGATTCAAAGAGATAAGTGTTTTTTTTTTTAAATATAGTTGGTGCAAATGCTCATCTTACTCATCCTGTCATTCTATTGCTTCATTAAATGAAGTTGAAGTCAACTAAGGCAGGCATGGTGACACAGGCCTATAATTGCTATACTTGAAAAGTGGGGGCAGGACTTTCAGGATTTCAAACCATCTAAGGTGATAATGGCCAATGAGTTAAGACAGGAAGACCACAGATTTGTTTGAGCATATAGTCTTCACTGTTGTTTCAGAACTTTGGGGTCACGATACCAGAAAGTGTTAGCTGAAGTATTTATTACCCCAAGTTTTCAATTCTTGATGTTACCTGTTGAAGGTCACTGAGGTCACTTCTTGGCCAGAATCTTGTTGCACGTAAAAGAGTGGAATTCTTCTGAAGCTGGGAGATTTAGCCTCAGGCTGGGATGACCTCCTAATTGCATATTCACGGCAACATGTTCAGCCATAAAACCACACACACACAACCAACAGAAATGGACTCAGCAGATTTTATTCAGGTATTTATGCATACCTAATCACACATGCTTAACAAGTAATTGGAAGAATTTGGGAGGGGATGGAGAAAGGACAAGGGGGAAAGTGATGTAATATATATATATAATTATGTATTTATGTAGGTGTTTGTATATTAGTATAATATTAGTGTTATTTTGTTTGTATTTTAACAAATAAAGCTTGCCTGACCTGAAGATCAGAGTGCAGAGCTAAGCACTAGAGGTCAGGCAGTGGTGGCACACATCTTTAATCCCAGGACTCTGGGACAGAGGTAAAGGGATATCTGTTAGTTCAAGGCCACCCTGGGCTACCTAAGGCTGAATCTGTCTAAAAGAGAACCAGAACTCACACAAAGGTGATCCAAGCACGTAGGATCTGATGCCTTTAAGCCCAGCACTAGGGAGGTGGAGATAATAGTTGGGCAGAGAGAGGAATATAAGGCGGGAGAACACAGATCAGGGCAGTCTAGGCAGTGAGTCTGAGGACACAGTCTTGAGGCGGTCAGAGCATTGGTAGTGGTGAGAACTCTCTATTGGCTGACCATTCTGCTTCACTGATCTGTCAGCTTTCACCCCCTACCTGACTCTGAGTTTCTATTAAGACCAACTAAAATTCATGCTACATCTAGAGCCCAGTGTTTAGGGTATGAATTCACCAAAAAGCCATTTTCCTGTGGCTTTGTAGCTATGGGCAGAAGTCAGAGCTACAATATGCCAGAGTGTAACTGGCTAGGTTTTCCTTTCTTGTCTCATGGTGGGCTTTCCCCGATCTCCCTTCTCACGCTGCCTTGAAGTCTGGTCTTCCATTTACTGTTTTATGTAGTAGCCGTCAGCTTCACATCTTCCTTGTCATCACTGGCAGATTTGGTGAGAAAATTGGGAATTCTTTTTAGGTTTGAAGCCTTTCCTGGAAGTAGCTCTTGTAGACCAGGTTGGCCTCAAACTCACAGAGATCCACCTGCCTCTGCCTCCTGAGTGTTGGGATTAAAGGCATGTGTCATCACCACCCAGCTCAATTGGGAATTCTTAAAGCAAGCAATTAGTTAAAGGAGAGATTTTACCCATGTTAAAAAATGTGACACACAATTATGATAAAGTTAGGCTTCTGTATGTGGTGTGGGATTTCCTCTGTATGCTTGAACACCATTATGAATAAAGAAACTGCCTTGGCCTGCTGATATGGCAGAACTAAGGTAGGAGGGGAAAACTAAATGGCATGTTGGGAGAAAAGAGGCAGAGTCAGGGGGATGCCATGGATCTGCTGCCGGAGATACACGTGCTGGAATTTGGCTGGTAGGCCACGACCTCGTGGTGATGCACAGATTAATGGAGATAGGTTAAATTAAGATGTAAGAGTCAGCCAGTAAGAAGTTAGAGCTAATGGGCCAAGCAGTGATTTAATTAATAGAGTTTCTGTGTGGTTATTTTGGTTCTGGGCAGCTGGGATGAACAAGTGGCCTTCCTCCTACAAATACATGATTTAAATATGACCAATTAAATGAAGAAACAGTCAACTTACCCAAAATTGATATACTGCTAATTATCATTTTAATAAGCCTTGATGCTGCTTTGAAAATTCTTAGTTTATCTCTTAAAAAGTTGCTTGGTATAAATGCCAAGATACAGGCCTTAGAAAAACTTATTAAAATCATATAAAGATCGTAGAGGTATTCAAATCCAGAGAGAGGAATTTAACACAGAACCAATTTCGGCATTGCATTATGAGGTTTGAGAGGAACAGACTAATGTTTTCAAATAACCATCCTTAATAAATCCAATAACCTTACAGGAATTGCCAAATGATAGAGGCTGTGTAAGAGCTTATTGGACTTTTGTGGCAATGTTAGACTTAAAGAGATTCAAGGAAGTAATAATCTCATAGGGCATGCATCCACCTTTTGTGAGGCAGATGTTAAACTTGTGGGCAACTTGGAATAGAAATATCCCTCAAGTTTGGAGAGACTTGTTTACAGCAGTCTTGGAATCTGGTCCACAATTATAATGATTGAAAGTAGAAGCTAATACCACTGAACAACAGAAGAGAGCTAGAGCTAGGGAAATTTCCTTAGATCAAATTAATGGGAGTAGGGGATTATACTACTATAGAAATGCAATACCTATATTATGGCCATATTTTGGCTTTATACTATGCAGTAACTTTGAATTTTTGGGATAGTATTAAACAAGTAGGAAAGAAAATTGAGCCATTAACTAATGTCAGGGCCCAAAAGAAAAATTCAATGATTTCTTAAAAGATTGATATTAGTTGTAAATAGAACACCAAATTTAGAATCTAGACAAATAATAATTGAATCTCTGGCCTTTGAAAATGCTATGCAAAAGGATAATTAGGACTTTAAAGGCAAGATCAGCAACCTTGTAGTAAAAATCTTAGGCATTTGTGCAAATTTTTCATGTAACCTGCTTGTGCCTCCAAACATGATCAACCAAATCACAAATGTATCACTTTCATCTGATAAAAATTTCTGCTATGAAGGCCCTAATCTATGACTTGTTTGGTCAGATAACACCCTGTTCACGATGGGTAGAGCAATTCAGTTTGCCTGGTAAAACTGGCAAAAAGGGTCATTGTCAAATTATCATTTTCCAATAAGGTCAAATAGTATGTCAAGATCTGTCACTGAAAGAAAGAACAGGTGTCTGCAGAATGGTGGAGACCTTTGCTCCAATATCACCAGTTCTCTTCCTTGATACAACTATAAGGGACCACAAAAGGCTCCTAATATCATTCCTAGCTGTCATTCTCACTTCAAGTACCATTAGGTCTGCTGAATCATATGATATAATAGAGAAAACTACACAGCAGCAGCATGGACCCATTGAAGTCCTTCTGCTCTTCCAGGAACCAAAGCTAGTAGTATTCTATAAGTTTCTGCCCCACTCAGTTCTGTAGCAGTTCAGTTCCAAAGAAACAAACAGAGACTTATATTAGCTATAAACTGTTTGGCCTATTAGCTCAGGCTTACCAATAACAAGCTTTTACAACTTAAATTGACCCATAATTCTTGTCTCTGTTTAGCCACGTGGCTTGTTACCTTTTATCAGTAAGGAATTCTCATCTTGCTTTCTTTGTGTCTGGCTGGTGAGTGACTTTCTGCTTTCCTTTCCCCAGAATTCTCTTAGTCTGGATACCCCATCTATACTTCCTGCCTTGTTACTGGTCAATCAGCATTTTATTAAACTAATAGAAGTGAAAAACCTTTTTAGTGTGCAAGGGCATTATCCCACAGCATTTTCTTTTTCAAAACAAGAACTCTGAATCTAATCTTTGTTTAGTTTTTTCATGTTATCCATAACAACTTGTAACCAAAACTCCAAGTAATGACAAACATACATAATCTACTTTTGGGAATGTATTCCAAGTTATTTCCAGCTAATTGGGGGCATTGATAATCTTATGAGAACCCAAAGAAAATTTAGGATTGTGGCCAAGTCTTGACTGGGGTATTCTGAGAGGCTAGATCCTCTCAGTCAACAGGTTTGAGGCTGTTCTGCATATAGAACTCAGAGGAAATTGCAACAGAGGTGCTCTGAAATGTTGGAACACCTGGGCAATCCCTTTCCACTGGAGAATTTTCAGGGGTCTTCCTTGATCAGACCTTATTTGTTTTAACCCAGAATGAATACACAGCCTCTCATTTCCTGTGGAAACAAAAGCAAAACTTTTTCTCCAAAGTAACATATATTTGACTTAAAATTTGAAGTTAAGGTATTTTCAAAATAAATAGGTTGGATTAATCTAGCAGCATTTATAATCAATTGTCTTTTAGCAGCTGTTGCTTCTTCCTTTGCAGTCAAACAATTCAAAGACAACACAATAACATACAATATCCAGATTCTGTGTATTTTCCATCTTTACATTACTTTATTTTTTTTCTCTATTTCTTTTGTTTTTATTTTTTGTTTCTTTTGAGACAGGATTTCTCTGTGTATCTTTGGCTGTCCTGGAACTCACTCTGTAGATCAGGCTGGACTCTAACTCACAGAGATCTGCCTGCTTCTGCCTCCTCAAGTGCTGTGATTAAAGGTGTGTACCACCATCCCCCCACTACTTTTAGCTTTTTTTAGGACTTTATCTTTTTTCTTTTCTCGCTCAAGCCTATGTATATTTCCAAACACACTGTAAGTTATTTAGAATTTTTTTTATCTGAATCTGTCTTTACTGTATCTTTATATTTTTCTGACCACATCAATCTTGATTCTAAGTCATAAGGCTAGGATCAAAGCTGCAGCTTTGTTGGCTGGCTCCACATCATTCCTTAGCTTCATGGTGGAAGTACTGGTGGGAGGCACATTTACTGTCACAACTTTGTGGAGTTTCTAGGCCCATGCTACTGCCAGAAAGCCTGATGCCAGCTACTCATAAACATCATTTAATTGTTTGGTGACACTGCTTCTTAAAAGAGCCTCAAGGTTTTTGCCACTAACACTGAGTTAGGAAGCCTCTCTTAAAGGGGCTGCGCCTCTGCTTGCAGCCAGTAAACAGAGCCTACAGGAGAAGATACAGTTACCAAGAAACTGTACTTGGCTCTATTCTTATCTGTCTAGAATTTTTTTTGAAGCTTTCTTAGTGAATTCTTTTGTGGGAATTCTTGCCAAACCTTTGGGTGCCATTTTTAGATGGAAATTTCTGTCCTGTCCAGTCCTGTTATTCAGTTCTAGAAAAGCACACAGAGGCTTATATTAATTATAAACTCTTTGGCCTATTAGTTAGGCTTATTACTAACAAACTCTTATACCTTAAATTAATCCATAATTCTTGTCTATGTTTAGCCATTGGCTTGGTACTTTTTGTCAATGAGGAATTCTCATTTGCTTTCTCTTTATCTGACTGGTGACTGACTCTCTGCTTTCCTTTTCATAGAATTCTCTTAGTTTAGTCGCCCTGCCTATCCTTTCTGCCTGGCTACTGGTCAATCATTGTCATATTAAAATAATACAAGTGACAAATCTTTACAGTCCACAGAGCATTACCTCACAGCACCCATTCACTTAGTATATGGGCCAGACTAACACACCCGAAAGGAATGTGCTACCTTAAGAATCCAAACAGGCCCAGCAAACATTGGCTTCTTTCTTGATGGGAGAAGGACCAGATGCAATAACTTCTCTGTCACCTTAGAAGAAATACTTCTGAATTCCACACAACCCTAATAACCTAAGAATTTCAATGAGGTAGAAGTTCCTTGAAGTTTGGCTGGTTTTTGTCCCATCCTCTGATGTGCATATGTGTTGTGCATATATGAGATCAAAACGGTTGCTTCCTCCTGCTCACGTGGTCCAAACAAAATAATGCCATCAAAATAGTTCACCAATGTGATATATTTTTGAAGACAAAGGTGATCAAGATCCCCTCAAATTAGCTTATGATACAGGGAGGGTGAGGCAATATATTATTGATGTAAAACTGTGAGGAAGAGAGTCCAATGCCATCCCTCCTTCTACAATTTTAACTGAACTGGTTAGTGCGTAATTAGAGATTGAAACATTTAACTTTTGCTAAAATATTCGTCAGTACACTGACTTGTTCTCAGAATGTGTTTTCATGTTACTTATAATAGAACAGTTAGGAATGAGCTTACTTCACATTTCTCATTATTGGCCACTTTTGTTAGTCAATTAAACTATGCTTTTTATGCCTTAATGGAAACGTATGGTTTTTGTCCCTTATGGATTGTTTCTGTTCCTCATACCATCAAGAAAGAACAATGTTTAGAATGTGATGATGATAGTTCCGCGCAAAGCGTTTAACACACTGATTACATCCATAGGGTTTCTCTCCTCTGTGATTTCTTTACAGCATGTGAAGACTACTCTTCTCCACAAAGGCTTTGCCACATTGATTACTTTAACAGGGTTTCTCTCCAGCATGAATTCTTTCATGACGGAGAAGATACTGCTTCCTTGTAAAGGCTGTATCACATTGGTTACATCGATATGGTTTCTCTCCAGTATGAATTCTTTCATGATTCTGAAGCATGCACTTCTGTGTAAAGGCTTTACCACAATAATTGCATCCAAATGGCTTTTCTCCACTATGAATTCTTTCATGCCTGCGGAGATTAGACTTCACTGTAAAGGTTTTATCACACTGATTACATCCATAGGGTTTCTCTCCACTATGAATTTTTATATGGCTGTGAAGATAACTCATCTGTACAAAGGTTTTACCACACTGATTGCACTCATAAGGTTTCTCTCCAGTATGAATTCTTTCATGACGCTGAAGACCTCTCTTCTCTAAAAAGGCTTTACCACACTGATTACATTCATAGGGTTTCTCTCCAGTATGAATTCTTTCATGCCTGTGAAGACGTCTCTTCTCTACAAAAGCTTTACCACATTGATTACATTCATAGGCTTTCTCTCCAGTATGATGATTTCTTTCATGACAGAGAAGATAACTCTTCCTTGCAAATGCATTACCACATTGTTTACATTCATATGGTTTCTCTCCAGTATGAATTCTTTCATGCCAGAGAAGAAAAAGCTTCCTTGCAAAGGCTTTACCACATTGATCACATTCATAAGGCTTCTCACCAGTATGAATTCTTTCATGTCTGAGAAGTGTATACTTCTCTGCAAAGGTGCTACCACATTGATTACATTCATAGGATTTCTCTCCAGTATGACTTCTATGGTGAGAGACAAGATTCTTTTTCAGTGCATAGGCTTTACCACACTGATTACATTCATAGGGTTTCTCTCCTGTATGACTCCTCTTATGACAGAGAAGATTCTTATTTAGTGTATAGGTTTTGCCACACTGATTACATTCATAGGGTTTCTCTCCAGTATGAGTTCTTTCATGAGCACGAAGATAACTTTTGCATACAAAGGCTTTACCACACTGATTACATGCATAGGCTTTCTCTTCTGTATGATTTCTTATGTGAGCAAGAAGAGTCTTCTTCAGTGTATAGGCTTTGCCACACTGATTACAATCATAGAGTTTCTCTCCAGTAGGACTTCTTTTATCTATTTGAAGGTAAGTGGGACATTCAAAGGCTTTGCCACACTGGTAGTATTCATACCTTTTCTCTCCAGTTTGAGTACTATGTACTTGTTGAAGACTGTGACATGGAAAGGTTTTATAAATCTGATTATATTCATAGTATTTTCCTTCCAAATGACTTCTCTGGTGGACTTTTAAAGAGGAATCAGATGTAAAGGCTTCATCATATTGATTACATTCAAAGAGATCCTCTTTATTATTGGCTGTTTTGTGTGCTTGAAGATACCGTCCATGTCTTCTAGAAATTTGATCATGTTCTTCATGGTCATTGTGGTCTTCCCATTTACAGCCTAAAATATAGTACCAGAAAATGTATGTGACATATTACTAGAAATCAGGCACAGTTGAAATTACTATATTTCATGAATCTAAGAAACATGCCTAATTTATCCACGGGATTCTTCCTCTTTCATATTCGAAATCACAGAATAGCACCTAATCTCCAAGAAAGACTTGTACTCTTAAGTTAAAAATTGACAAAAAGTTCACATTCTTACCTATAGCAGTGAGGTTCCAGTAGGTTTCTAGCATCACATCTTTGTAGAGATTCTTCTGGGAAGGATCCAGCAAAGCCCACTCTACATGAGTAAAATTCACATACACATCCTCATAGGTCACTGCATCCTAAAGTATCCCATATGTGATATAATAAATGAATGTTGACACTGAATACATTCTAAATGTATACTTCAATGAAGACATATTTACATAATTCAATATGTTCATTATATTTTATGACATGAGCCATTAAATATCAAATGCAGTCACCAACTCAATTTAAAGAAAAGGGCTAAGCAGGAAGATGCCTTCCATTTATGTGCTCACTGAAGAGAATACAGCATTACAGGAGAAATGCCTTATAATGTACACAGACAGACATGAAAACAGAGTGATGACGATATTTAGTGTCCATCTGCAAAATCTTTCAGAATAATTAACTTCAAAAAAGGATAGACAATCTGGCCCTGGGGGTGCACTCTTCTAATACCAAATCTCAGGAAGCAGAAACAGCTGAAACTCTGATTCTAAAAACAGTCTGGTCTATATAGAGATTACCAGGACATTCAAGGGTACAGAGACCTCGTCTCTAACATAAAATCAGAAAACACTCAGTGGCTCACTCAAAATTTCTTCATACACTTAAACATTCACTATAATTCTGCACTTTTCTATCATAACCTAGAGTAACCTCTTTTAAACTGTAATGCTAATAATTTCTAGGAAGGAAAACATTTCTACAAAGTTAGTTACAGATAGATCAAAGAGGTCTCAAAAGCACTGACAAAGTAAGTGTGAGTCTACAGTAGTAAAAGAACATGAAGTATATAGAGATGTATCAGCAGGTAAAATCACCTGTTGGCTTTCAAGAGGTCTTAGCTCAGCTCCCAGGATTCACTGGAAGCTCTATTCCTAACTCCAGGTCAAGAGAAAGCAATGTTTGTATCTGACTTCAGTGAATACCAGGAAGATCAGCGAAACACATCCATGGTATATATATAGTCAAAAGATTCAGACATTTGAAAACAACTTAAAAATGCAAAAACATGTACAAAGTTAGGGATAATGGTAGACACCTGGAATTCAGTGAAAAAAGACGATCACTATTAGTTGCAAGATTGCATTCATACTATATCTGCAAAATGACACCCCCTGCCAAAGTTCAAAAGTCGTGATTTGAGTATATTTTAGCACAACAGCAAGAATGTAATGTACAAAAACACCTCAAATTAAATGCACCTAAAATATTAATATAAAATAATAGGAAAGAAAAATGGATTAGCAAGAAAAAACAATTGTTTCACTTTTACCTTAAATTATTTAGTAATGGAGTCTCTAGTGGAGGTAATGGTGTGTCTACAAGAGAAGTGGGCTGCTCAGTTTCTACACACAAAGAAGTGTGGTGAAAAACACAACAATCTTCCCCAGAGACTATGTTCTCCAAAAATGCTTCTATTCCTCAGTCACCAATGAAGGCCTACACCAAAGACAAATGCCCAGATTTTTCATTCAACTCTCTATACTGTGCCACAGGTCATGATATACTGACAGTCAAACCCTGATGCAAAAATTTATTTAGTCTAATTTCAAGGATCCCCATGTTATGTAACATTCCATGTTATATAACACTGTTGAAATGCCCAAGGTTTCTCTTGACACTCAAGGCAATATCTTGACTGTGACATCTTGCAATATGAAAACATGAATTAAATCTATTCCCCAAACAATGCCACAGACTACACATTTCCCTTTTTAAGAACTAAGAAAAGACTGGACCATGGCAATGTTCGAACCCTACAGGGCAAATGCCAAATCCTGCAGCTGTGCCACACACCTGGAACTTCCATTTCAAAGGGCTTAGATGATTATTTCTCCTTGCAACTTCTCATACATCTCTGTCTTTTGCTACTTCCACTTCCTACATGCAGATTCTTATGACGCATGTCTCAAAGTTTGCATATCTTAACATGTTATGACCTCAAAATGCAACCCAGACTTCATCTTATGACTTCATAGCACCAACACTTGAACCCATAAGCTCTAGACCCAATACTAAGAGTGCAGGCTATTACTATCATTAATACTGGGTCTCCTTTAACCCTACGTGACCTTGAATAATATGTGTAATCAGACAGCACTGAACTTGATCTTCCTGCCTTAATTTACAAGTCATAGGATTAAAGGCTCTATCCACCACTGTGGGCTTTAGGGCTGAAATGTTTAAAGAGTTTAGAGCAGGGCTTCCTCATTAAGTGACAGACAAAAAGGAAATAAAAGATACACGAGAGTTGAAGACACTTGACAAAGGGAATAACAGGTACAAAGGCTTCGAGGGGAACGTGTTTGACAAACCAAGCATTGAAGCTGCTTAAAGCAGTGCCAACAGAAGACTAGGAAAAACTGTGGATCCGGGAGGAGTTGGTTTTCTAAGGAACTTTACTATCAGGCCTTCAGTTTTGAGAATAAATACTGCATATTGGAACTTGACCTAATTTGTTATTTAGATCTCTGGCACTAAGTGATTCAGTGGTTAAAGAGCTGTTTCTGAGGGTCCAGGCTGACTGCTTGACACCTGATGGGCACTCAAGGACCAGAAACTCCAGGGCCAGAGGATTCAGTGCCTTCTTTTAGGATTTTTTGATTGCAGACATGCACACGGTACATGGACATACATGCAGGCGGAACATTCATATACAAACCATGAAATATTAATTCACAAATAATCTGACTGCTGAGTTAGAACATGAATATTTGGAAAACTAGAGATGTTGTTGATTAGAATTAGAACACCCGCGATCAAATGAGGGGTTCAGTGGTTAGCAGCACTTGATGCTCCTCCAAAGGACCTGGGTTCAATTTCCAGTATGCATATAGTGGCTCCTGACCACCTGTAATTACGGTTCTACAGAATCTGACTCTTTTTTGATCTCCATGGAACCAGGCATATACATTTTACACAGGCATATAAGCAGGAAAACCATGCCAATATGGCTAAATGATAATTAAATTGATATAATCTGAAGATGTAGCTCAATTGGTAGCATACTTGCCTAGCACACATGAATCTTTCAGTCCAATTTGTATTACATAAAGGGGACAAGGATATTGTGGTAGCTTGAAAGAAAATACTCCCCAAATGTAGTGGCACTATTTGGAGGGGTGACTTTGTTGGAGGAAGTGTGTCACTATGGAGGAAAGCTTTGTGGTTACATATATGATAAAGATACCACCCAGTGTATCAGATCACCCCCTGATCCCTTCAAGATATACAACTTTCAGGTACAATGCCTGTCTACATACTGTCTTGTCTGACTACAATGATAAAGGACTGAACCTCTGAACTGTAAGTCAGTGTGGCGATGTCTTATTTGTAATCTACAAATAAACCTTGACAAGATAAGAGCCACTAGCTAACCATAGAGGTCTGGAGGTATGTACAGACAGACAGGAAGTGATATAGTCGGGCAGACAGAATATAAGACAAAAAGAGACAGGAAGTCAGCTGCTTTTTTTGGCTGAGGACTTAGCAAGGTAAGAGATAGCTGCGGCTTACTCCTTTCTCTCTCTGATCTTTTAATCTTTGCCCCAATATCTGGCTCTGAATCTAAATTACAAAGACCGTCAGAACTTGAGCAGCAATTGGTGCCCAACTTTACAATATGAATACACAAAAGAAGCTGCTGCCTGTGGCTTTGCATCCACTGGCACATGTGGGGACTCCCGCCAGAGTCACTACTCCACTGGCTAGGTTTTCTTTTGTTTTTTTCCCCAAGCTTCTGAATGAGTTTGGGATTTTCCTGTTGTAGCTTCCTTACAACAGTCTCCAACTGCCAATCAATCTCCAGAAGCACCCAGGCTCCTAATACACAGAACTTACCCACCCTAGACCAGTTCCACTGCCTTAGGGCAGATCCCACCACGCATACTTCTGCACAATCCTGTGTATATTTTCCCAACAGCCAGCTCTGACTACTGTATGGGTTGTGGGATTTCTATGAACCGCCTCCTTGAGCTGCTGCCCCAATAGGTAGCTGCCTTGATACTTTCTCAGGCTTCTACCATTACTGCAACTGCCACATACACTCAGGTCATGGCTACATGCTAGCAGCTGCAGCTGTCCTCAGCCAGGCTGTGCACTGACTGTGTTTTCCAATTGGATGGACTATACAGTGGCAGCCTCACACTTCATCAGCAGATTTGAGACAATAGGGAATTCTTAAAAGGCAGAATTAGTTTAAAAGTTATTTTTCCTGCATTAAAAATGGAAACACAATGACACTGGAGAGTTAAGTCTGCATGATTATGCAATACATGATTTAAAATTGGAACAATTAAACCAATTAAATGAAGGGATAATCAACTTACTGGGACTGACATAGTATTAATTATCATCTTGATAATTCTTGGTCAATTTTTAAGAACGGTGGTTGATATTAGTGCCAAGATATATGCCTTAAAAAACTTATTAAAACAAATAATAGAGATATTTAAATCCAGGCAGAGGAATTTAATAGAGAACCAATTTTAACATTGCATTATAAGGTTAGAGAAGAATAGTCTAAGGTTTTCAAACAACCAACTTTAATTTATCCAGTCATCTGACAGGAACAACTGCCAAATGACAGATGTTCCCAAGGCTGCGCAAGCGTTAAATAGACTCCTGTGGAAACGTTAGATTTAAGGAGATTCAAGGAAACAATAGTCTCATATGGCATGAATTCACCTTTTGTGAAGCAGATGTTAAACTCGTCATCAACTTAAAATAGATTATTCCTAAAGATGGAGAGACTAGGCCCCCATACCAAGTTTGGTTCATTCATTTCCTGTCATCATGGAGGAAACTCCTTTACAGATCAATTAAAGAACCTAATACCTACTGTAAGAAAGCATACTGCGCTGGATGATAGAACAGTTGTAGAACAGAGAACAAAAATTTAAGGAGAAATCATAAAGTGAGTATTCTGGCAAACTTCTATAAATTAACAAAGAGCAAAATTAAAATATGAATAAAAGACCTTGCCATTTAAGGCCTTATAGACACAGGTACACATGTACCAATAATTTCACCAGAATCTTGGGAAACAAATAGGCCTCTTCTAGAAGTAAGAGTTCAGATTTTAGGCTTT